CCGCGCCCGCCCAGCCGCGGGGCGCGCAGCAGCAGCCGCCGCCCAGGGCGCGGGGCAGCAGCGCGGCCCCCCGCAGCATCGGCCCCGCACCGCTCCGCTCCCAGCGCGCAACCGCGGCGAGGGCGGAGCCCGGAGGGTGATAGGTCACAGCTGCGCAGCCGGAGAGGAGCGGGGCCGGCTCGACGATCGCCGGCTGGGGGCGGAGCCGGTGACTGGGCGCAGAGTCCCGCCGACCCGCTGCTGTATTTAGTTAAAAGGATCCTGTTCCGTCTGTTGGCGCACTGGAAGTTCATAGTCATTGTTTAATATATGCACAAAACCATGATCTATGAAATCTGTGAAACCACCTCCTCACTCAGCCTGTGCTCCACCCCACTGAAATTAACTGGATTTTGTACATGATGATTTGTGAAAAAGGGGGGGGGGTGTTGGGAGGAAGTCCAAGAATCCCGTGAAGCTCGCCTGAGCTCCTCTAATAAGATAGGTCTGAACTGAAGAGTCAGTAAAATGGGTAACTCCTTTCAAAGACATAAAATCCCACCTCCAGCAGCCCTCGGTAACGCGAGCACACCTCGCTGTAGCCCGGATTTTCCTTCCCGCGGCTGCGATTTTCCCTGCCGCATTCAGCCACTTCCTGAAAATTTTACTTGTAGAATGCGGTGGATTTTTTTTCCAAATGCAGAACAATTTTTTTTTCAAGTTCAGAACAATTCTGTCCCCAACAAAGGTCTTGCAATTAAATTTCCTTGTCCTGCTTCTGTATCTAAAATAGAGACAAGCTGGTTGGTTGAGATCTAAAAGTTTAATTAGTAGCATACTAATAGCTTCTGCTGTTATATATTCCTTTTAAACCGCAGCAAAAGGGTAATGCAGGTAGTAGGAATATCCTTCCTTTGACTAGTTCTGCTGAACCGTGTAAATTGACATGGAGGCAAAGCCTGTGTCCAAAGCCCTGCAGCAGGACACGTTATCAGAATGTACTTACAGCACTCATTAATCCTTAGCACGGAAATAAAAAAGGAAGTGATTACGCTGCTAATTAAATGATCCGTACAGTGTGGCGGCTCCAAGAGGAGGGTGCAAGTATAAACACTGCCTGGAACACAGGTCAGAGTTTTGAAGACAAGGGTGTCAAAGCCAAATACTGTTCTCAGCTGGGCTGTAAGTTAAAGGTAAGTCACCCAAGGGCCAGCACTGTCCTCTCCATTCCTGTACCGCATCACCTGTGCATTTGTCTTATTGTTTGCACATATATACCTTAGCATACATAGATGAGCCTTTGTCCAAAGTGGACTGACGTACAGAATCAGAAGGGTGGTTTACGCACACCTTGCACAAAGATGAATGACCTCACAAGGAATTAATTAAATAAAAAAGTTCCTCAGTAGTTATACATACCCTGTATGTGTTGACTGAAGCCATTAGAGGTTTTCAGTTTCAGGATAACCATGCCTGTCTGCAAATGTTGGCTGAAAAGGCTGAAATCCACTTAAACAGAGTATTCTAGCTCTAGTTTTGGTTAATCTCAGCAGGTGGCAGTATGTGCAACGCTAATATAAGACTCTTGGATGTCAGAGATACTTAAAATTTAAAATACCAGACAGCACAGAAAATACCTCAGGAGGGCAGGAAACCAATGCACACCATTGCTGGCAACTCATGGCAGCCTATGTTCTTCATGTTAGAATGCAAAAGCTAGAGAAGCATCTGAAGGATACCTGCCAGAAATTTACATTTAATGAATGTGCAGGAATGTGCTCACATAGCTGACATGTCATACCCCTCAATAAAAAAGGGAGAAGCTACTGGGTTGATCTATTTGTTTTCCTTTGCTCGTCTGTTGTTCTGGATTGCTAAGTGTTGGAAATAAGATGATGTAACTTCACACCAAATATATATTAATACAAACTCTGGTTTGTATGATACAATAGGTCAGTGTACCAGGAGGCATTGGTGTTGTATCTCATTATAGCTGCATTATCAGTCACCATTGCAACTATCTGGAAGGGCAGACAATAACCAAGTATCACCTCTGTCTTTAGAGGTGAAGGCAGTACATGGTGTGAACTGGCAGCCAGGGACAAGTTATGAAGCACAGACAGAATGTCTGATTTTATACTACTGCTGACAAAAGATAACTGGAGATCTAGAACTGACATCTAGTTATTGCAGCTCTAAATACCAACAAGCAGCTTGTTGCTTCTGCTGTAGGCACATGTCAGGTATCCAGTCTGTCCTGCAGTGACAACCTTTGGGAGTGAAACAAACAAACAAACAAAAACAAAACCAAAAAAAAAAAACAAAAAACCTGGGTCAAGCTCATGTGCTGTTTGTTGAAGAAGCTCACTGACACAAACTGGCATGATGGCTGTTCTTTATTTAGCCAAAATGCAAAGACAGCTCCAGCACAGATGGGCTTAGTCATGGAACTGCCATCCAAAACACATCCCCCAACATGTGCTTGTTATGTGACCTCAGGGGATCCTGACACGCGACCTGACAGATGTGGTGTCATGCACCAACCTCATGTAAGATGAGAGGTCTGACATCGCTCCATCATAAAGAGATTATGTGTCTCTGCATTTATCTTAATCATGTCAGTAAGTTCAGCAGCTTGTCTCCTTACTGTTGAGAATGTGATAGGAGATTGCTTAGAAACTGAAACAATACAGCAGGAATAAAAGGTCAGACCCTGGAAAGGCTAGGACGAGCAGATTGTCATGGATCAAGGCACTGCTATCATGGGATGAAGTATCTGACCTTTTCTTAGCTTTTGGGCAGGGGGTGTACTTAGGCAGGATGGAAAACATGCTGACTTTGTACGGTATGGGAAACACTCTGTTTTGATTTCGTTTGTTCCTATTACTGAAGAAAATAATATGTTTCATTCTGAAAAGACTGGTGTGAAATAGTGGGCACTGTCCAGCGGTGGGCTGGACAGTCACGTTGCTTTTCAGGGGCTGGATTTGAAGGTGTTGCCTTAAGGGTAAGAAAATGATGAGATTCCACTGCAGCACAAGTAAAGAGGTAGAGAGCAGAAATGCAAGCAGCTGGATTTGAAAGATGAGGTCTTTAGAGGTACAGATCTTAATTATGTAAAGGTTAGACTATGGGCAAAATTCTGCATTGCAGTTTTTCAAGGGATTCATAATATTCCCCCAGTTTTAGACGAAGATTTTTGTCCACCAGTTCTAGGCTGTTTTAAGGCTAGCAGTGCTCTGGTACCACTTCAGGGATATTTTATTGCAATCCATAAAGTGACTGTAACTAGCGTGGCCATAGGTAAAGACCAACAGTATTTTGGAGTAGCACAAGTGTGGGTGCACGAGTAAAATATTCAGTGTCTTACACTTATGTCAAAAATGTTGAGTGATTGCAAGATCACTAAATGTGGTAGAATCTGGCACAAAATAGCAGATAGTTGACATATCACTGCTTCAATGCGGTATGAAGGTCATGAGCATTTTTCTTTTTTACACAGAAGCATATTTTTAATAACAAAAATTTCATTTCAGGTAGCAATAGATCAATGTTAAACAGTATTAATTCGAGGATAGTAAATGTTTGGTTCTTCCCTTTATCAGTTAGAAGGAAATCAGCAGCAAGCAGAGAAATTTCACTGTTAACCAATAATAGTAGCATGTTTGACTTCCTTCACCCTGAAATTGCTCTTTTTGTAATGGTTAACTGCTCTGTTGTAACTCACAGCAGGGGGGGTAATTTTCTCATCAAAGGAGGCAAGATAAAAGGAAAGAAAATTCCTTCCATCACACGTGTTAGAACCCATTTGGAAGAACAATCATTACAGTACACTAAACAATTCCAGGTAGGAAGGTCTAGTTCAGTTTTAGAATTTTGGACTATCATCGGAGGAAAGAGGTTGTTAAAGGAATTATGCTTGAATGTAAGGCATTTTCTGTTTTAGTTTCTCTCAGTTTTTACGGCTCCTTGCACCCACGCTGCGCCAAAATCCAGTGGGAGCGATGGGCCGGGTCGGCGATTCCCCGCTGCCGCCGGTTCCCCGCTCAGGGCGGCTCGGCCGCCGGCCCTTCCCTTGTGGGGGACGGGCGGTGGTCGGGGAGAAGGAGGCAGAGCCTGTATTTCCCTCCCTCCCTCGATCTCTTGGTCCCGTTCCCTCTGCCCCCGTCGCACCGCTCCCCTCTGCCTGCCTCTGGGCACGTCGCCCCCTCGGCCTTCTTCCCCCAGTGGCTCCGGGTCACACGCGGGATAAAGTTTCCCGAGGAAACTGGAGTGGTAGCGCTTTCCGTGACGGCAGCACCGGAGGATAAAGACCCTGGGAGGCCGCGGGTCCTCGGCAGTCCATGTACCTGCTGCGGGGGGTCGGTTTCCACGCCGTATTTTTCCGCCTGGGTTGGTGTTCTCCGCGTTCACCTCCTCAGGCGCCCCGAGCAGCGAGCGCTGGTTGCCTGGGAGGAGCCGCTCTTGACAGGCTGAGCAGGGCTGTGCCCGGGCCCCGGGGGTGCTGTGAGCCCTCCTCTGCTTCCCGGGAGGTGTGCCCATGTGCCTGGGCCCCGGCTGGGAGTTGTCAGGGCGAGAGGAGCGCCCGGGCAGGAACCCTCACCTGAACAAACAGGTGTAGGCAGCTCGTCCGTGTGGCTTGGGCTGCGCAGGAGATCTGAAGCCACCGAGCATGACTAGTCCTGGCACAAAGGGCTCCTGGCTCTCGCAGCCGACGGTGAAGAGCGTGCTGGTGTATCGCAACGGGGACCCTTTCTTCCCGGGGCGCCGTATTGTCATCCACGAGAAGAAAGTGTCGAACTTTGATGTATTCCTGAAAGAGGTGACAGGCGGGGTGAAGGCACCCTTTGGAGCTGTGCGGAACATCTATACTCCCCGGGGTGGGCATCGTGTCCGGCAGCTGGAGGAGCTCCAGAGTGGAGAACAGTATGTGGCTGGTGGCAGGGAAGCCTTCAAGAAACTCAAGTAAGTGGCTAAAAAGTAAGGTAACCATTATACGGAACTTGAATATCAGCATTTGGGGCTTGGCACTGTGGCAATACTTCAGAGGACCCCCCATCACATCCCTTTTATTAGGCATTCCAGAAAGAGAACATAAAGGCTGTGACCCAAGGCAAAAGGAAAAGAGCTTTAGGGGTGAGCCACAGAAAGGCTGCTGATACCATCAGTTGCATATGCCATCTCCTTGACATGACAGTACAAAAGGAGAAACAGCTCTTTAACCTGCAGGACATGCAGCAATGGCACGTTGTTGTGATGCCTGTGCTTAACTGAAGGGCTGAGTATCAGTATTTGTGCTCAGGAGTGACAGGGCGAAAGCTGTAAAAGGGTGGAGTGTTGACAGTCCTGCCACGAAGTTGATGAGCCTGGGAATCTAATTCCCCATGGTTCCTTTCTAGTTTATTTTTTTTAAAGTCTAAAGTATTCTACCCAGTTATCCACCTCTCCATCACTTCTGTTCATTTTGCATAGGCATGTAGCTTTTTTATGACCAGAACAGCTGAGTCCCTCCTGTAATTTAAAAGATGACCACTTGCTTTCTTTTTCCTACCTGGACACCAAGAATTAAGCTGACAGTTTCTCTGTTTTTGAGTGAGTCAATGGACTCATGCGGAGGGAGGTCTGGGCTTTCAGGTATTTTCCCCAAGTGGCTCTGCATGTGAACAGTAATGGTTCTTAATTCTGGCAGTGAATTATACGATCTCAATTGCATATTATATGTTGTCTTCAGTCTTTGTGGGCATTTTTCCTGCAGTTGAATTAAAAAAAAATAAATCTCAAAATTAACTATCCCTTTCTGGAGGTGGTTGAGAATTTATATGCTAAACTATCAGCTTTACAGGGTCTTCCTCATCTTGGTTGTGTAGAGTTGCGGACACTACATTTTTCAGGAGAGCTCATTATGAGCTCATGTTTCATGACAACACTCTCTGTGTAATTAACAGGATCTCTATCAGCACTCTTACCATTTCTGTCACTACCTACTTCTGAAGATTTATTGAAGGTTCTTGTGCTTCAGGGGCAAAGCTAGAGAGAAAGATATATGACTACATCTATAAGGCTAAATCTAAGTCCCTTTCCCACAGTACTCTCTTCTGTGTCAAATGCAGCTCTCAACTCTCAAGAAAGATCTGCTGTATCTTTTTGGTATTAAATCCCGTGAGTCTGTGGATGGCTTAAAGTTGTTAGTTGTCAGCATATCATGTTACGCCTCCCTAACTGTGTTTTGTATTTGACAGGCTAAAAGTGAGTGTTTGGCATTAGGATGCACTCTTTAGAGAACTGAACACTCTGGATGTTTTTTGGGTGGGAAAAAGCATTTCTTTTTGTCAGTTCACACTTTATGGTCAGAGTTTTATAGGGAAAGACCTTTCCAGACTGTTATGGTTGCAACATGCAACAAGGTACCTAATTTTTAAGGCCAACAAAGAGAATATTTTAAGAAAAGCTAACTTAAAGGACTTGGTAAAAGCAGCTGTTTATATAACCCTTGATAAAATGTCTTAGTCCTGTGATGTATGGAGGAAAAGTGAGTTGACTTCAGATCTTTTCCATTTCTCCATTCAGAGTTGGAGTTCTTCATTATTAGTATTTGTTTATATTATGCTGGAGCAGTTTTCTGAAAGGAATTGAAGAAATTAAAGGAAAGAGTGTATATTTATTTAACGTGACACAGGCAAACATAAAGCAGTTGCAGCTGTGAGAGACCAAGCTTCTGCCTGAAGTATCTGAGTCGGTCTGATGGCAGCAAGAAGTTGGAATAATTTTACTTACTTTTTTTTTTTTCCCAGTGAGGCTTATTGGACATATTCATTGCTATGATAGACTATGCAGGGCTGGACTTTGAAATGGAGGTTAGTGGCACTGATGTGTGGGAGCTGTGGGAGTATAAGGGAGAGAGTATCCAAGAAGAAGCAGAAGTTGGAAGTGTCATTGTTCCTCTTCAAGCAGTGCATTTGTTTCTTCTCAGGTGCCTTACACTGAGAACTGAATCTTTTTCCTGTTTGCAGTGAATTCTAGACTAAACTACACTTACCTTTAGTGTGTGAGCCCCTTATCATTTCAAGCCCTGAATCTTAGCATAGATAGCTCTGGGAGAGATAGCTCTGAGGGTATATATTCTACATAACTGCTAATATGTTTAATTTTTTAAATAAATATAAAACAATCAGCATGTAGAAATTCTGCGTTTAGAAAAAATACATAGAAATTTTCTTTAATGGTGGAATTATTACTCAATGTTGGGATGTTTTGTAGCATATAACAAGTTTTACAGCTTGTTTTGTCATTTACAGATGTGCCAAGTGAACACACGCTTTTTGGTCTTGTGCTGGTTTAAAAGTTAACCAGCAAGACAAAATGAACTCAATTCAAAAGAGAGATTTATAAGTCAGAATAACAATTTATTAAAATAATGCAATAAGTACAAGTATACAGACAGACAATTGGTTTTAACCCACAAAACCCAAATGTACAAACCCAGCACCCTGGGGTATGAACAAAAGTGGTGTACCTTGGCCCACCCCCCCGAGTCCAAAGCAAAGGGAGAGGGGATAAAACCTGCTGGTGGGAGAGCTGCTGCAGTCTGGTCAGAAGTGGTGATTGCAGTCCAGTTGAGGGTGGTGGTCTCAGCCTGGTTGGGAGCAGCGGTGGTCTGCTGTCTTCCTCTGGGTCCCACGAGAGAGAGAGCCTCAAGGCTCTGAAACTCCCAGTTATATACTCTCCAGTTCAGGCGGGAGTGCTCAGTCCCTCCCTCAGAGTAGGGAATTCCATAAAAGGGCATGCGGATGCTCAGTCCCTCTTCCATATAAGGGTATCAGAGGGGGGAATTCCATATAAGGATATCAGAGCAGGGAATTCCATAAAAGGGTACAGGAACATCTTCCCACCTTGCAGGCCTCCACTGACAGCAGTCTTCGGGAAATGCCATGGAGGCTATAGAATACACAGCCTTGGGTTACACCCATCCAGGGATGAATTGGTCCCAGCCGTTCCAACCAGGACAGGTCTATATGTGGTGAGGTGTATCGGTGTATTGTAGTTGTTATGATGATGAATAATAATGCATATATATACCTGCACCCCTCTGAGTTCATCCCCAGCTCTGAGCTTCCTGAAAGAAAGCTGCCTATGCTGAAGTGGATTTCGATTTTTAGCTTTTTTTCAGCATGCTACTTTACCTTCCTCCTTCCTTTGCCCATTTACTTGTATTTGTGCTCATTAATTAATGGTAGGTTGTCCTCTCTCCAGCAGTGTCGCTTTAAACAACACTAGTCTCATCACTGGCTTGGCTAGTCATCAGGTGGAAGTATTTCTGGTTTCTTAGCAAGTAAGAATATTTTTGCAAAGTTTTTGGTCTGTGATTTTTTTGAGTGCTATCATCCAAAGAAAAGCCTTTGGCCCTATTTAGAACTTTTCAGATTTGCAGATCCCTGAATTGCCTGGACCTCTGCATAGTGAATTTAAGCCTTTGACTGTGTATTTGCTTTTCTTTGTCACTTTTATTAGTTCTCCTCCAAGTAATTTACAGATGCCCAGAAAACAAGTCAGTAGCTGTTTTTATAGGCTGTTGGAACCATTTCACCTTAGGCATTTATTTCTTTTCAGTCTTGAAGGCTGCAAGACCTCTTGGTTTTGGTCTCAAGAGAATTTGTTCCTTTTTACACTGGGAAGCTTGGAACAGTTGTTTTTGTTTGTTTTTAAACATGGGGCTTTAACAAATATTATCCTACCTTACTACATTTATCTTTTCCGAAGCATTGGCATGCACTTTTGAGCATGGCCTGGAAGCCTTGCTGGGTCTTTCTGTCCCCTCACCCTGAAGCCTTGGAATCCTTGTGACCATACCTTGTGGTACCTTGATAAATGATTCAAAGAATGAACGGTGCTTTTTCTTTGTTTCTTTCTTTCTTTTTTTTTCCCTTTCTTTCTTGGTTCTACACCTTCAGTCCGTTCCCATGAATTCTCAACTTTGGCCAGGCAGGAAAGTTTCTTCTTGCAAACAAATGTTATCCCAGTCATTAACTACAGAACATGACATTACTGGAGGACTGCAGATGCGTTGAGAGCTTTCAGGTCCTTTGATGAGCCTGCACTGATGCTTGGCATTAGGTATACTTGATTTCTCAAATAATGTCTTCCATTCCTAAAAGCCCAGTAAAGCACCTGTGGTTTTCCACTGGAAGTGGGAGCAGAGATGACAAGTGCCCATTACCTAATGTTGGGTTAGATGCTCCCAGCACAAAATAGATGCCCCAGCCATTGTTGTTCCCATGTTTAGCTTTTGGCAGAAGGTGTGGCTGTACTGAGTTACATCTTATCTCTTCTACAGCCTTGAGAACTTGAAACATCTTGCAGTACCGGGAGCTGCTGAGAGCTGCGT